GAGAGACCAGTTCTTGGAGAATGACATCATATTCAGAAGGGTAGAGGGATAGTGCAGGAGAGGAAGAACCCAGGTTAGGTAGATTGATACAGTGATTAGTGTAATGGGGTTGGTGTGTTGGAATCAGTGTTTCTGATTCAAGATAGGGCAGGCTTCAAAGCTGCTGTACTTTGGGCCTCAGGTGACTCGATGACACATAACAACAACAACTGGCTAGGATTTTTTTTTTTTTAGAATTTGTTGGGAAATATTGGGATATAGATAGATCTATAGAATGTTGATTCATAAGAAAAACAATATAATCCACCATATCAAGAAAACAAAAGAACCACATGATCATCTCAGTTGATGTAGAAAAGGCATTTGACAAAATTCGGAACCATTTCCTTATTAAAACACTCAACAAAAGAAATATAGAAAGGAAATTCTTCTTCCTAATTAGTAGTATATATATTAAGCAAACAGCCAACATTACTCTCCATGGAGAGCAAGTACAGACATTCTCCTTGAACAGAGGCCACGCAAGGATGCCCACTTTCACCACTCCTATTCAGTGTTGTATTGCAAGTCCTAGCCAGAGCAATAAGACAAGAGAAGGAAATAAAAGGCATTCATATTGACAAAGAGGCAGTAAAGCTACCTCTATTTGTAGATTATATGGTCCTTTATATATAAAATCCCCAAAACTTGAAAATTACTGAATCTAATTGATTCAGCAGAGTGCCAGGGCATTAGATCAGCATAAAAAATCAGTCTTCTACAGTAACAAAAAAGAAGTCTGAAAGGGGATAAAGAAAACAATATCATTTACAATAGTTACCCCAAAGAGGAAATATTTAGGGGGGAAAAACTAGCTAGAGCACAAAATACCTATATAAGGAAAACTATAAAACAGTACTACAACAAATATAAGAAATCTATGTAAATGGTAAAATACACAATACTCATGGATTAGAAAATACTGTGAAAATAACAGTACTATCAGAATTAATCTACAGATACAATGCAAAATCAATCCAGACATTTCCGTTTGTTAAAAACACCCAGTTGTGGTATATCTATTATATAAGCTCTAGATAAGACAGAATTTGGTACCAGAAGAGTGAAGTGCTGTTCTAACAGATACCTAAGTTTACCTAAGTAAAAGCCTAAAATGCCTTGAAGAGACGTTGTTAAATTATAAGCAACAGAGGTAATTCTGATGAGAATGTAAAAGAAAGCAAAAAAGTATCATCCTAGAAAATGCATATGATGCCAGTCAGTTGTTGTTAGGTGCCACTGAGTTGAGTATGATTCATAGCAACTCTATGAACAATAGATCTGAGCCCATTTTGGCAGTCACTGCATCAGTCCACTCGGTCAAGGCTCTTCCTTTCCTTTGACTATCCTCTCCCTTCCTAGCATTATGTCCTTCTCCAAGGAATAGCCCCGCCTAAAATATGCCCAAAGTATGTGAGGTGAATCCTCATCATTTTTACTTCCTAAGAGTACTCTGTACCCTCTCCAAGACATATTTGTTTGGCCATCTATGGGATGTTCAGTGTTCTTCTCGAACACCACAGCTCAGAGGCATCAATTCTGT